TGAAAAATGTCCTGAGATAACTTCTGTTGTTAATTGGTGCTATACAAATAAAACTGAATTTAAATTTAAATATTCCTGGTCTGTCAAAATACATTTAATTTTTGCAATTAAAATTTTTTATTAAAACTATATTATTATACAAATAATATATATATAGATTTAATAATAAATAAATAACATATATTTTAAAAATGATAATATATACAGTATAATGTATGTTTAATCAAAATTATGAGATTAAACATTTAAAATTTTTAATTATTCCCTACCTCATAATTTATTTATTTGTTATTCATTTTTATTTCATTTTTATTGATTTTGAATAAATTCTGTTTCTGGGTGATAATGGAGAGAATCAACAAATTGTCTTTAAAATAATAAATATCGACTTTCTTCAGCCAACGTTAAATATTTTATTCATCCAACAATTGAATTATTGATTACAGAGTTAGATTAAATATTTTCTTTGTCACAGTCGATGAAATTATTCATTTAAAATTGTTTTACCTTCAGAGAGTGGATGATGAAGCCGATGATGAAGAGCGACTCGCTGTGCTGACTCCAGATCAGTAAAGAGTGACAAACTGCTCAGTGGCTGTTTTTAAAGTGTGTGATCACACCTCGTTACACTGTGTAACCGCTGTGTGTGTCTGCGCTGCGACTTCCTCCTCAACAACTGTCAGCTCACCTTCATATTCATCATCTTCATCGTCTCTGCTCGTCACCATCAACCTTGAGAGAACAAGGTTTAATAAAGTGAAAGAAATGTTAAAATATTCTGAGAGGAACTAAAACATTTTTTTCATATATTAAGTTATAATTCAATAAAAGTGAGAATAAAGTCGTAGTTATATTAATATTAATTCACTTTGGAAAAACTAACAAGTTAAAAAATTTATCAGAAAATCATTAAAATGTTTAGTAATTTTCATAATTTTAGAGAAAATCTTTGTTTAAATAAATAAAGTTGAAAGATGTTGAGAAAAATAGTGTGTGTCTGTGTGTGTGTGTGTGTTTGTGTGTGTATGTGTGTCTGTGTGTGTGTGTATGTGTGTGTGAGTGTTCAAGAGACAAACAAACTTCAGACTCAACAGAAAAGTTGCAACGGTCACACTGTGTTCACAACTCTGTAACCACGGCAACCTCACACACACACACAAGCAGACTCAGACACTTTTTGTATGTTATTTTGTAATATGAAATAAAACACACAGTTTGATGTTTGATGTTTTAGGATTAATATTCCTATTATATCAGATACTCTAACAGCTGATGGAGCGCCCCCTGCTGGCCATGAGAGAGAATGCAGGTTTACAATCTGTCACTGTCGACTCAGAATGTGTCTCAGCTTCACTTAATGTGTGTTTTCTTTCCTCTTTTCTGTCTTTTATTTCGTCCTTTTAAGTGGTCAACACTTTCAGGATCATCCCTGGCCGCTAACTCTAAAACATTATCAGAGTCCGACCACGTTGTTTTCCTGACGCCGCCTGGCTCCTCTTCCTCCTCCTCCTCCTCCTCCCTCACGTTAATGTCACACATGTCCCAGACAGCCAATCACATGAAGCAGGAGGCTTTACTCTGTTACCACTTCCTTCCTGTTGGACTGAGAGCTTCAGTTCACTCAGCAGAGCGTCAACGCTGTTTACTGTTACCTGAACATCTGCAGGTTGTCACATTAATGAATGAATCTGAGTAGAAATAAAGTAATGCAGCAGACAGAGCTCATGTGTTACTGACAGTTTATTGTTTGAGTCATTTGATTACATTTCTACCTTCATACACAGCTTGGTTTATTGATTCATTTGTTTCTTGATTATAACTGTGAACTGTGAATCTGTTTGACATGAGAATAATCTCTGGGACTGTTGGTTGAATCAATAAGGTATTAGAAGTTTTACAATTATTAGTTAAGAAAACAATTTTAAGAAAGAAATAATAATAAACAATCATTATTTTCAGCCCAAATTAAAATCATTAAACAGTTAAACAGCAACTACTGGATATCATTTCTATATTTTCTGCAATTTTAAAGTTCCCATGAAGTCTGTTGATATTACATGGATTTAAAATTAGACTTGTTTGAATGTTTAACAGCGGATCAATATCATGTGTTCCTGTGTATCTGTAGGGAGTGTCTGTGAGTCTTACTGCTGTTCCTGCAGGGTCAATAAAACCACATAGTTTCACTTCGCTGTCTTTTTAAAATGAAAATTAGCTCTGGTTATTAATGTTGTGGTACATCACACTGGACTATGAATGAATTAATGAAGCAAACTGTATCGATCAAACTAACAAACAAAGTTAAGTCAAAATTATAGTGTAAGTGTATTTACTCCAGTATGTGACCCAGTTTGTAGGTAATCTGACTGGCGGACAGTCTGATGGCAGCAGTACCGAAGTGATGTATGAAGTGCTAACTGCTGCTGTAGCTGCCGTTAACTTGCCCACCAACAAGTAACTGCCTCCGTTCAGGTTCACGCACCTACTTTTGAACCGTTTGGTGCATTTGTGCCAAAAACAAACAAAAACGGAAAAGTTGGAACCAGAAAATACACACCACCGAGATAGACAGCGGACAGTTCGTCAACAGCGGTACCGAGGTGACTTCGTTTCTGGAGCTAACAGTAATGATTTACGGAAATTTCTGATGGACTTTAGCCACCGTTAGCAAGTTAGCTGGGTTGGTCTTGAAGCTAGCTGCTCAACCCTCGGCTGCCAGGAGCTAAACCATCTTGGTACTGTAGTCCCTGTCTTCAAACTCTCGGCATCTCTCTCGGCATCAATATCAGCAAGTTTTTACAGGAAACACGTAAATATGAGGATGCAAACAACAGTTTCATGGGAACTTTAAAGAAAATAAAGTTTTTCAAAAAAATCATTAAACTTCATATGAACAGAGAGAAGATGGACAGCACCAGAGACACTGGGACATAAGCTAAGGGAGCAGCTCCAGAGAAGGTGATGAAGCCCGGCTGGTTGCTGGTGATCTGGCTGTTGATCCAGGACTGATACTGGGACACTCGG